GATTACCAAACTAGCAAAAAGTGAGCTAGATAATGCAACTGTTAGGTGAATCCACAATTGGCTGCAAAATTGGACTTAAAGAGTGCTCATCAATGGCACATAATCAAACTGGGAAGAAGCAACAAGTGCGGTGCTGCAGGGTTCTGGGACCGGTACTCTTCAGCATTTTTATTAATGATTTAGATGAGAAAGCACAAGGAAAGATAATTAAATTTGCAGACAATACAAAACTAAGTGGAATCGCAAGCACCCTAGAAGACAGAATGAAGATCCAGGGTGATCTCGATAGGTTAGAATTCTGGACAGAGAACAGCAGAATGAGATTTAACAGGAACAAATGCCAAGTTCTCAACTTAGGAACAAGAAACCAAATGCACCACTACAAGATGGGGAGTACTTGGCTCAACAATACTGCATATGAGAAGAATCTTGGGGTTGTTGTAGACCACAAGCTAAATAGGAGCCAGAAGTATGATGCAGGTACAAAAAGGGCATAGTGTTTTAGGCAGAAGTATCACTTCCAAAACACATGAAGTTCTAGTTGCCCTCTACTCAGCACTGGTCAAACGTCACCTGGAGTACTGTGTCCAGTTCTGAGTACCTAAGTTTTTTAAAGATGCAGAAAAGCTAGAAAGGGTACAGAGGAGAGCAAAAAATAAAATTTTGGGACTGGAGGCAAAACCCTGTGAGGAAAGATTGAAAGAACTAAGTGTGTTTAGCCCCAGGAAGAAAAGACTGAGGGGTGATATAACAGCTCTCTACAAGTTCCTGAAGGCTGTCACAAAGAGGAAGAACAAGATCTCTTCTTGTTCATTCCAGATTGCAGGACATGGAATAATGAACTTAAATTAAAAGAAACCAGATTTAGAGTAGACATGAGGAAGACTTTCCTCACTGTCAGAGCAGTATGACAGTGGAACTTATTCCTGTGGAAGGTATGGGCTCTCCTTTGCTTCAAAAAGAATCTGGACAGCCATCTAAATGACATAGTGTAACTTGGTGTCCTGCAGTAGCAGAGGGTTGGACCCAATGGCCTTCTGCCCCATTCCAACTCTACTATTCTATGATTGTAAGCATATTCACATAGAAAATAATGGAGGGAGCAATCATGTGACCCCCTGACAGCATCTGAAGAGCCATAGGATTGTTCAGAATCCTCTCTCCTCGAGCATGGATACAACACAACGATCTCAGAAAATGGGGTTGGAAATGTGGTTACCCATGTCCCCTAACAACCAGCAAGGAAAGAACTGTGCCGGCTGCCCTCTGAATTGGAGGACATAAGCTCAGAAAGAAATAGGGAGCATTTTGATTGGCAGACTGGGAAAGAGTGGAGAGCCAGGAGACAAGCTGTCCTGAAATGGTTACCTCTGATGTTCCTCTTGCCCTACATAGCAAGTTTCTCCTTCCTACATTGTAATCCTCTGAGTTAGCGGGGTAACAATCACTGAGGGTGCAGTTGATAGGACTGTTCCCTAAATTCCTCTGTGGAAGCATGTTCATGAAGGTTCATTAGAACAAATGGCCTAGTGGTTGCTATTTACAGTAATGGAAAAATGAAAAGATAGGTGCATTGTTAGCTCCTGTTCAACATAACATGTTCCTTGTCATTTTCTGTAGTAATGCTCACAACGGGGGAACCCACTCCCCAAAGAGGATAGATTAACTTCTTTGTTTAGTTATGAGAAGGTTCTCAAAACTTTTTTTCCCTTCCACATGGCTTTCAACTGATATTTTGTGTGTGTGTGTCTTTTATTTTTAAAAGATCACTTTTCTCCTTTGGCTAATTTTTGTCAGATTGTTTAAAAAAGTTCAAGGGTGCTATCCTATGTATGTATTTATTTTTCGATTTCTATCCTGCCTTTTTCCTACAAAGGGCTCAGGGCAGCTTATATCTCCTCCTCCATCTAATCCCCACAACAACAACCCTGTGAGGTAGGTTGGGCTGAGAGTCTGTGAGTGGCCAAAAGTCACCCCAGTTGGCTCCATGGCTGAACGGGGACTAGAACCCAGATCCGCTGAGTCCCAGTCCCATGCTCTTAACCACTACACCACACTGGCTCTCTGTTTGTATGTATGTTTAGACTCACAGTGTGCTCCAGCTTCTAAACCATAGAATGATTTATAAACATATATGGGGGGGACCCAAAAATCCAGGAATTTATTTAAAAAACTGTGTATTTATTTTTACATGTTCAAACTTTAGTCATCTTCAAAGTACTCTTCATTTGATGCAATGCACTTATTGAGACTTTTTTCCACTGCTCAAAACAGGTTTTGATCTCATCGATTTTGATGTCTTTTAGTTCTGCCATTTTTTTATTTCATCTCTTCCACATCAACAAAACATTTCTCTTTGAGGACTTTTTTCATCTGGGGAAACAAACAAACAAACAAAAGTCACATGGGATGAGATCAGGTGAATAGGGGGGCACAAAGGTTATGCTGTTTTTGATCAAAAATTGCTAAACGCTCAGCTGAACAAAATTTCACTGTTCCACGTTGTTCGTATAAATCAGCCATCACAAAACAGGCAAATACATTGAAAGCGTCTCCAAAAAACCCTCACTGAAGCCGAGCGCAGCCTCTCACAACAACCTAGCTGGGTACACTGATGTTCATGCATTCCTAGAACACTCATCTAGCAGGGAAAGCCAATACTACAAGGGGCCACCCCTCCAGAAGATAATTCCTGTTTCTGGTTTTTTAGTGGGGGTCCCCCTTGTATTTGAAGCAGGTATGGACATCAATTTCTTGGCATATGAAAGAGTTCCTTGTTGATGGCTTAAGGGTATGGCATGGCTGGAAGATGTAGAACATTTTCTGTTTTCACATGTGTAGGGTTGTGCCATAAATTGTTCTATAGTTTGAAATTATAAATTGGCTTTGGGGCCCTTCCTTGTCAAAAAGGTAACTTAATAAGTGTGTTTGTGCAGTTTTGTATTTTTTTAGGTATTAGTGTAACCCACTTTCTATAAACACAATTTGGATCAAGAGTGTAGAAGAACTAGAAATGAAGATTGCTCAGAACATCTGAAAACTGGAAATTATTTCATGAAAGCCCACATTTACAAATGGTCTTTTTCAATCTTGCAAATCTATTTCATATATACAGTATATAACAGAAGTGAGTACCTCCCTCACATTTTGTAAATATTTTATTATATCTTTTCATGTGATATCCTGAAGAATTGATACTTTGCTAAAATGTAAAGAAGTGAGTATACAGCTTGTATAACAGTGTAAATTTGCTATCCCCTCAAAATAACTCAACACACAGCCATTAATATCTAAACCACTGGCAATGAAAGTGAGTACACCCCTAAGTGAAACTGTCCAAATTGGGCCCAAACTGTCAATATTTTGTGTGGCCAACATTGTTTTCCAGCACTGCCTTAACCCTTTTGGGCATGGAGTTCACCAGAGCTTCACAGGTTGCCACTGGAGTCCTCTTCCACTCTTCCATGACGACACCACGGAGCTGGTGGATGTTAGAGACCTTGCGCTCCTCCATCTTCCGTTTCGGGATGCCCCACAGATGCTCGATAGGGTTTAGGTCTGGAGACATGCTTGGCCAGTCCATCACCTTTACCCTCAGCTTCTTTAGCAAGGCAGTGGTCATCTTGGAGGTGTGTTTGGGGTTGTTATCATGTTGGAATACTGCCCTGCAGCCCAGTCTCCGAAGGGAGGGGATCATGCTCTGCTTCAGTATATCACAGTACATGTTGGCATTCGTGGTTCCCTCAATGAACTGTATCTCCCTAGTGCCGGCAGCACTCATGCAACCCCAGACCATGACACTCCCGCCACCATGCTTGACTCTAGGCAAGACACACTTGTCTTTGTACTCCTCACCTGGTTGTTGCCACACACGCTTGACACCATCTGAACCAAATAAGTTTATCTTGGTCTCATCAGACCACAGGACATGGTTCCACTAATCCATGTCCTTAGTCTGCTTGTCTTGAGCAAATTGTTTGTGGGCTTTCTTGTGCATCATCTTTAGAAGAGGCTTCCTTTTGGGATGACAGCCCTGCAGACCAATTTGATGCAGTGTGCGGAGTATGGTCTGAGCACTGACCCACCACCCCTTCAACCTCTGCAGCAATGCTGGCAGCACTCATATGTCTATTCCCAAAGCCAACCTCTGGATATGATGCTGAGCATGTGCACTCAACTTCTTTGGTCGACCATGGCGAGGCTTGTTCTAAGTGGAACCTGTCCTGTTACACATCTGTATGGTCTTGGCCACCGTGCTGCAGCTCAGTTTCAGGATCTTGGCAATCTTTTTATAGCCTAGGGCATCTTTATGTAGAGCAACAATTCTTTTTTTCAGATCCTCAGAGAGTTCTTTGCCATGAGGTGCCATGTTGAACTTCCAGTGACCAGTATGAGAGAGTGAGAGCGATAACTAGAATGGTAGCATAGGACTGCATGCTTAATCTCCTTTCTAGTCTATATATATATATCAGGCTACTTGTCTGAAAATAATAGAAACTCCTCAAGTGAGTAGCCAACAATAAATGCTATCTATCATATTAATGAAAATAATGTATGTTACATGCACTTGGAATATACTAAAATTGTGTATTTCCGGTAGTGCCTCCTGCATGCAACAAGCTGTCCATCCTTGCTGTACAAACAGTACATTCAGCATGTTTCAAGAAGCCTGAAAGATTGCATATGACAGAAATAACTGCTGTTTGAGCGATTGCCTCATGTTGCCCCATTTCTTAACAGCCCTCTAGCAAAAACAGATGTTAACAAACCAAGTTGATGTGTAAGAATTTTAAGGTATGACAACACTGCTTCCTAACTGACATAACATTATTTCCTTACCAGTGTTGCATCCTGCATTGAAATGTGGAGTCTTCCACTCGTTTGTAGTGGCTTCATTTTTTGTCTTTTCCACAGCGTTAGGCGCAAACTTGACTTCTTCATTAGGTTTATCAGTTAACGTTTTTAGTGATAAAACCTTATTTTCTTCCACTGGTTCATTTCTGCACAAAGGCTTAATGTGGGAATCTGAAGATGGGAGTCCAGAAGAAATCCCCCCATTCTGTCCACAGCTTCCTCCTGATCTATGTGGAAATGAGGTAGTTCATAATTTGTGGAGGAGTGGGAGGCTGGTTTCTTAGTTGGGGATTGTAGAGAAACTGTCTTACTAATATTTATTCCAGAGCATTTGCAAACAATATTGTAAGCAATGTGCTAAATCAGAGCACTGATTACCTGAAAATCACACGTGAAGCTTGCTAATGTGTGCCAGTTGTTACTAGTGTCTTTGTGAATGGCACTGCTGTGGTTGTGCCAAAGCAATGTGGGTACTGTAGCTCCGAATAGTCTTTATTATTAATGATAAATATCTGCAATAGGAAGTACCTGTCATGATACTTGATTCAGTTCTGCCAGTACTGTGGAGAGCAATAGCTGGATTCACCAGAATTTTATTCTGTAATGGCACTGCAAGTTGAATATTTCTGGCTGGGTTTTAGATATTTGCATCAGTATTTCTGTTAATATTCACAGTAGGACTGTATGTGCCCTCTCTAAATACATTTAAAGCATGTTTTTAAAATGTTTGCTTTACATTTTGATAATGGAGACTTGGTAATTGCAGGGCTTTGCATTTCAGTATATTAATATACATTTGGGTTTTGCTACTTTTGTTTTAATGTAACTAATTTGAACATAAACTTTATCCCTTGCTGAAATAGAGGGCTAGTTTTCACTGAGGAGGTATGTCTGTTAAAATCTGCACTGAGAACATTATGTAGAATGTTCATTTATACAAAAACATTTCCTTCAGATTGGGAGAAAAAAGCATGTGGAAAAAGGGTGCTAACATAGTAGTCTAAGTTGATGGGTTATTTGTATGGAGAAGAATTCAGTCAAGTGAACTTCCATTGAAATTGTACATGTCAGACACAGGTTTATCACCTTAGTGAGCACTTGGTGTAAATGATGACTATACATAAAGGTAGACCCTATTGATCTCAGTATCATTTTCTTCTCAGTTTATGTGTGTTTAGTATTGGGAGCAAGCATTGCTTTTCTTGATACTTTATTGTCTTTGTATTGTTTTTATTGTCTTGCACTGAAGATTCTACAGTGTTCTGAGCAGAAAGTTCAAGGGAGAAGTTCCATCAGATTCTTGTATGGTTTTCTTCACATAATCAGCCTGTTAGGTATTTTCCCCACCACACAAAGTTATTTTAATCTGAACCCAGTATTGTGGTAGAGAATGGAGGAGAGAATTGGAAGGAATTTATTATCTCCACTTCTTAAACTATAAACCATGGGTCCTCAAACTAAGGCCTGCAGGCTGGATCCGGCCCGCCATGCCTATTTAATTCCCCACCCCCCCAGAGGCTTTGCACTTGCCGTGCCTGTGCGTGGGTGCATGCAGGTGTGCGGCTTGCTCGCGAGGAGGTCGTTTTGGGCTTGCTTGGAGAAACCGAGCAAGCTGGCACCTCACCCCGCACGCGCCCCTGTTCCCACCTCACATGCATGTATGCTCAGCCCCCTCACTGGCCCACGTCCCCCCACTGACACCCCCTTGGCACCCCTTGCACCGCTGACACCTGTCAACTGGCCCCCTGCTAAAAAAGTTTGAGGACCCCTGCTTTAAACCATACTTAATTTTTACTTTATTAAACTTAGATAGTTTAGCTGAAAGACTTGAGTGCAATTGTATTTAAGTAACTGATGGGGGTGCCATCTTCATCTGGAATGTAATTAGAAATTGAAAATGGAATCATATATTCAGAAGCATCTTCTAAATTAAGGTTGTTTGTTGATCTGTAAATTCTTTATGCAATTTCTAAAATTTCATCATGTAGTGAACTCTCTTGTACAGTTGACTCTGTAATATGCTAGCTAACTAGTTAAAAAAACATTTGCAGCCTTTATTCATTGATCAAAGAGTGCAGCAGTTCCTGGAAAAGTATTACAGACATTCCAGAATAATTTCTAAGGTTTGTGTTTTTAAGACTGTATAGTATTTGCAAGACTACTTCTAGACTTTTCTATCAGTTTGCAAACAGTAGGAAGAAATGTGTAATCAATGACCTTTCTTCTTAGGCTTAGCATGCTATTCCTTTCATGTGGTAGTTGGAAGAAATCTTTTCCATTAACAGGGATTTTGCTTGCTTTATCCAGGAAGGAAAGAAGGAAGGGCAAATGTGTTGCCAAATAAGGACAAAGGAGGGCACAGATTCAGGAGGTTTGCATATGTCAGTTGATATGTATAGATTACTTGTATCCAGGGTCTGTCAGTTATGGCCACCTGATTTGGTGCTTGTGCTGCCTGTGTGTATTTGCATTATAATTATTTATTCATTCATAAATATGCAGTTTGTGTGTATTTGTAATGGCCAAAGGACTTTGCTTCCTGATTGATTGGAAAAAAGATAAGAGAAATGATGTTGCAGGGGTGGGGGGTAACCTTTAGATTGAAATTTGGGTAGTAGAGTCAAGCAGATTACTGTTCCCTTCTTCCTAGCCAGAAAATGGTCCTAGTGGATACCCAGTCTTCATGTTCTTAGATCTAATGAACTAGCTTATTTGAAACACTCTGACATGCAAGTGCTGTCAAAAACTTGAAAATATATCAGAGATATTTGCATATTCTGTCAGTTCTCTTTCCATTCTTTGGCTGTTGTCATGCTTATCTACTGCTGATACAGGGGCAGAAGTCCAGAAAAGTATCCCACTAACAAGAATCCATGTGAGCACCATATCTTCACTTTTAAATTTCAAAGGAAAATATTTCAACCTGGGAGATAAACCCAGGAGACTCATCCAAAGTGACACATTGGAGGATGGCTCTTTTGACATGAAAATACACTTGCACATACTTTGGTTTCAGCATTTTCTGTATTTTTGAAGGGCTTGATACTTTCTGTTTTTAAGTGTTAATTCTTTAATTCAAGAGGCTAATTGGGATTACTTTGTGGTCTGGTTTACACATATGTGGGCATCATTCAGTTTCTGCATAATTGATATCTCAATGGTTGGCGACTTAGAGATGAATATATGAATAAAAGCACATTTAAGTTGATGGTGAGGAGCTATATGAAGACTCTGCTATGGTGTTTGATCTTCAGTAATTTATTCACACATGTAAGTCTGATGAATCTGCATGTATGAACTGGCTTTGAGTGAATTCTAGCCAGTGATGTCCATGTAACAGCAGAAGGGATGCTACTGGTAGAATGGATTCCCTCTTCCCATTGCAGCTCTTTCCACAAGCTCTAAATCTGTCTCTGGAGGGTGGTGACCCTTCAAGAACATATTTGGGGAGTTTAGGGTAGTGGGAAGAGGCAGAAGTCCTGTTGAACAAGCAGACTTGCATGTTAATGGATGGACCCCAGTGTTCTATTTGGAATTAATTCCTTTGATATTAAACTGCCATTTATAACACAGTTGTATCATATTATTTTCTACTTCTTTGCTTTACTGTTTACACCCTTCTTCTCTTGTTTCTGCTATTTACCATTCTCAGAAGTATAACTTTGTTCACCTGGCAATGAAATGATTCAGAGTAGTATAGACAGTTGGCAATTTGAGGCAATGATATCTGAAATCAAATAACATTTCACAAGTATAATCATCATGGAAATTGCTCAGAGAGCTTTATAAGCTTTAAATCTCAGTAAAAATACTTTAGCTTTGAGATTAAATTTGCAGTTTTTCTCTTTCAGGAAGTGGGCGAGCCATTCAAAGAAGAAAAGGCTGTCGCTAAATACCTGCGTTTCAATTGTCCAACCAAGTCTACCAACATGATGGGTCACAGAGTCGATTATTTCATTGGTAAGGTGACATCTGACATTAAGGTGACCAGAAATCTTAACATTTAGGGATCACAAATTTATTGAATTTGGTAGGGAGACAGGAGCCTGACCGAATTACAGTTGCAGTCATCCTTATGTATGTATGTTCTATCCTGTACGTTCTATCTATTCCTCTAAGTTTGCCAGCTTCTAGTATGAACTCTATTTATTTTTATTCAGATTTGAATGGCCTCCTGGGCCATCTAGTCAGACGCCTGGCTCCATCTGGCTCCACTCATGACATGCCTACTATGTACAGTGGCACCTCAGCTCACGAATGCCTCAGTTCACAACCAAATCGGGTCGCGAACAAAAATTTCATAAACATTTTCACTCAAGTCGCGAACTCCGCATTGGGTGGCGACCGCGATGGCAGCCATCTCTCCACGCCCCCTGAGTGGGGAGGTGGCCATGATCATGCGGGGGGGGGGGGGGGGGGAGATGACCGAGATTGCGCCCGTCTTTCCTGTGGGAGCACAACTGTGATCGCAGCCATCTCCCTCCCCAGCATGATCACGCCCGTCTCCCCACCAGCACGCCCCATTCACACCCGTCTCTCCCTCCCCCAGCGCACCCCATTCGTACCTGTCTCTTCCCCCCAACCCCCAGCACACCTGGATGGCAGGCATGTGCAGGGATGAAGGGCGCGATCTTGGTTGTGCTGGGTGGGGTGCGGGGGAGATGGCCGCAATCTTGGTTGTTTTTTGTCACTTTGCTTCACATTTTTCTGATTAAAAAAAGTGGTTACAGAACGGATTAACCTTATTTACATTGAACCTTATGGGGAAATTTAACTTGACTCATGACCAATTTGGGTCATGACCAGAGTCCTGGAATGGATTAAGTTCGTGAGCCAAGGTACCATTGTACGTGACCATCAACTATAGTGATGACAGACATGGTTTTGATTTATCAATCCAAAATGATCACTGATGTCTTCTCTGTGTTATCTTGTAACTAATATTGGGGTGTTCTTGTCAGCTATACCTACCAAACTGGTACAATACTATCTGTCATTTTGATATCTTTCTTAGCCCTCTACAGGGCAGCACCTAATCCTTAATGCTGACTCATTGAAAAACACATAGGAACACAAGATGCAATTTTCACCCTGGACATATGTAAATAATGTGTTGTCTGCACAACTTTTTTGTGAACAGACTAATACATGCGGTCTGACTTGCAGTCCAAATTAGCATCACAACATACCCTTCCTCCAAAAAAATAATAGCTTTTCTTTCACAGTATATTCCATTAGCCATCACTTGATATTTCTTAGAAATTGTATTTTATTTTTTAGCATTTTCCTTTAGTTTTCAAGAAAATTTAATTAATTTACAATGTACTGCACTCTGTATTATGTACAGGACTGGCTCTACCATTAGGCAAAACGAGGCAACTTCCTCAAGCAGCAGATGCAGGAGGTGTGCTCATAGGATGATTCAGACTTACAGATCATTATCAAAGAAAAAAATAATTGCTGGTCTGAAGTTTCCATTGTTTCAGATAGCATTCAAGGTAGATTGCATTTTTCTTGCTTAGTACCTGTTCTGAGAATTGTTGTTTTTTTTTTTTCCTTTCAGCCTCAAAAGCTGTGGACTGCCTTTTGGATTCTAAGTGGGCAAAGGCCAAGAAAGGAGAAGAAGCTTTGTTTACAACTCGAGAATCTGTAGTTGATTATTGCAACAGGTAAGAGTTTGGCCTTTTAAAGTTCTTGTAAATGTTATAAATACATTTAAATGTATTGGGTGCATTCTAATATTCCTTTAAACAGACTTTCATTTTTGGGGTGCTCTCTGGAAGAAGGGACCAGGAAATTATTTTCACAGATTCCTCCTTCCTCCCTGAAATACCCAGTGCCACCTCCCATGGCTTCTATTAAAATAGGATGCATTACAGTGGCTTGATTTACAGAACACAGCAAGCAACCCCATGTTTTTACCATGGTTCATATTTTTTTACCATGATCTACCTGACAGAAGTCTCTATGTTATTGTAGTCTCTATGTTACTGTAGTTTCCATCCTCCCTGCTCAGTCTTCCCACTGTTCTCATGTATCTCATCAATCCCCAAGCCTGAAACTCAGCCCCAAGCTGAATCACTCCCTGCCAGTGTTGCCTGCTGCATCTTCATTGCTCTGCACATAGACATTGGATGGCTGGAGTGGCTCCTTGCAGCTGTCACTTTTTCTAGGGGACTCTGTGATAGTTTCATACCAGGACAGTGGAAACCATGTTCCTGGTTTCAGACAACATGACGAGCTATGGTGGTACAGAGAAACTGTAGAACAAATCATTGTTTCTTATCGTAGTTTCTAAAGACCAAATTTATGATGGTGAAATCCCATGACTGGCTTCAGACAATCTGACAGACCAACAATGATAAAAAAAAAACCACCATGGCTCCATGTGTTGTCTGATCCCAGCCAGTGGCTTTTAAATCTGTCATGTTCAGTAAGTCAGAAGAGCTTATTATAGTACAAGTAGTTACTGTGCCCACTCCTATTCCCTGTTCTTGCTCTGAGAGTATTTTTTTCAAGGAGTCACATTTGACCTGATAGGGATTTACCTGTATCCTAACAGTTCTGAAGGGCTTCTCTAAAAGGAATATAGCATCTGGTCATGAGCTAGGTTTTTTCCCTGTGCATATTCAAAGACACAGACCTTTCTTGCAAAACGCTCTTTACTGACCAAAGTGTTTTGCAGAAGCACAAACACCCAGAGTGAATCTCTGAGCATCCACAAAGCAATCTAGTATTTACTTGTAGTAACTCTGCTTATGAGTATCTTTGGGTCCCACCCTTTCGGGAGGGGCCTTTTGGAAGCGAGCACACCTCCTCTGCATGCCAGTGTTCTAATTGGGCTGCCCTACTCTGCTGACACCATGTCATGGGATCAAGAGCCCTCCTTGGCTAGTCTGTCTCTGAGAAACTCCCTCGTTCCAAGCTCTCTCCTGATAACTGTGCATCTCAGTTGTGCACCTGGGGATTCTGGCTTTGAGGTAACAATCTTTGTTTCTCTCATCTCAGCATCTGGAATTGGCCAGGTATCTCCCCCAAACCCTCCTCTGAATTTCAATCAGCAGGCCTTGAGAAAGCGCACTGAGAGCAACTGTCTTTCTCACTCCCAGTATATGCAGTTTGAAAACTCTGGCTGAAATTGCAGGTTCTCCAAGCTTGCAGCAACATCATTGCTTTGTCTCTTGAGACCATTACGTTTTTATCATCAATATTTATGAAGAATTTTTTACTTTAAGGAGGTGGTTGAAGCCCCATCAGTGAGGGTGTTCAAGGATAGGCTGGACATGCACATGACAGGCATGTCATGAGTGGAGCTGGCTGGAGCTGGGGGTCAGACTAGATGGCCCAGGAGGCTCCTTCTGGCTCTCTCTGTTTCTATGTTTAATGGGGTTAGAATACATTCCCAAAATTTTGTAAACTCAGTGGAATTTTTAGTGTCATCTGCTTTATGTTTTGTAATTGATAAAATCTGCATATATCTTTTGGAAAATGCTGAGGGTGGATGTTCTGTGTTAAATCTGTGCTTGTGAGAAGACAAACTACTATACGTTTGCTTGCTAAGTAATTTTTGCTGGAGTTCAAATATATTCCCAAGACATTTTACAAAAAGAAAACCAAGGAAAACCCACGTTCGGGATCTATTCAAATGTTTGTTTCTTAATTTTAGTTTCTAGAGAATCTGCCAAAGATAATATAGAATAAAATGATTAGTTTAAAATTGTGGTTCTAAAGTTACCAGCATACCATACAATTCCACTCAGACAGTTAACATTTACATTTAAGCATGAACTTGATTTTACTTAAAGGCTTCTAAAGAAACAGTTTTTTCACCGAGCACTAAAGGTGATGAAAATGAAACCAGACAAGGACATAAAGAAAGAAAAGGAAAAAGAGAAAGGAAAGACTGAGAGTGGGAAAGAAGAGGAGAAAAAAAGCAAAAAGGATAGTGGAAAAGAAGAAAAACCTAAAAAGGAGAAGGAGAAAGAAAAGAAAAAGGATACTGAGAAAGAAGAGGGTAAGAAGGTAAGTGTAAATTCCCAAGGCTAAGTGAAACACACACACACAGACACATACACGGTATTAATGGTGATTCACTGACATTCCATTCATAAGCGAAAAACAAAAAACAATGCTGTGGCGGTGAGCGTTTCGAAAAAGAGATTCTTCTCTGCTTCCATTGCCTCCTCACAATGCCGTCCGGCGGAGCTTTTTCGGGTGGTACAAGGGGTGGTTCATCCTGGCCCCAAGAAAGACCTTGTACTGCCCTCGACGGCCCACTGTGACAACTTTGCCAAGCATTTTAAGGAGAAAATCGCTCAGATTCATCACGAGCTGGACTCCACTAGTAATTCAGAGCCTTCTGGGGAGGAACCAATGTTGCTGTCTGGTCCTAATTTATTGGATGAGTTTCAGTTATTGTGGCCTGATGATGTAGACAAGGTGCTTGGACAAGTACTTCCCACCACCTGCCTATTGAACCCTTGCCCATCTTGGCTACTTAACGCCAAGCACAGGATAGGGACCTGGATCCTGGAGGTTGTCAACGCCTCTCTGAGGGATGGCCAGGTACCTGCCCCTTTAAAGGAGGCGGTAGTCTGACCAGTCCTAAAGAAGGCATCCCTGGATCCAGAGATGGCCACCAATTATAGACCGGTGGCCAACATCCCATTTTTGGCAAGGTGTTGGAGTGGGTGGTGGCGAGACAACTCCAAGCACTCTTGGATGAAACTGATTATCTGGACCCATTTCAGTCTGGCTTCAGACCCGGGTATGGTACTGAATCTGCCTTGGTCGCCCTGTATGATGACCGGTGCAGGGAGAGAGACAGGGGGAGTGCGTCCCTGTTGGTCCTCCTTGACCTCTCAGCGGCTTTCGATACCATTGACCATGGTATCCTTCTGGATAGGCTAGTGGATTGGGAGTTGGAGGCACTGCTTTGCAGTGGTTCCGCTCCTATCTCAATGGCCGATTTCAGAAGGTGGTGCTGGGGGACTATGGCTCTGCGCCATGGCAGTTATGCCATGGAGTTCCGCAGGGGTCCATTTTGTCCCCCTTGCTATTTAACATCTACATGAAACCGCTGGGAGAGGTCATCAGGAGGTGTGGGCTGTGGAATCATCAGTACGCTGATGATACCCAGCTCTACCTCTCATTTTCAACCAATCCAGGTGAGGCA